ATCAGTAAGACACTAATCCCCCAAATAACTGCAGTGACAAGTGCCACCATCTAAGGTATTAAAGATCCTTGGGTGTCTCCACAATGAGTGTGTCTTGAAGAGAGACAGGTTATTATAAACTCTAAGTTCTTTTCCAGATGTGGTCTCTTAATAGAACTCATCAATTCATTCCCTGATATATAGGTAGTAATTTGGTAAACATTTTTCTCTATCCTAAGAAAGAGAATAAATCAGAAATACATTGCTTCCACCTAATAGCTACAGCAATACATTAACCATGTTTTTATTAGTTTAGTCTACAGCAAACTATGACTCACAAGCCAAATCCAGAATACCATTCTTTAACATATTGTCTATAACTATTTTCATGCATTATACCAGCAGAGTTACAACAGAAACTGTATAGCCTCAAAAATATCTAAAATAGTATCTATCCCTTTACAGTGAAAGTTTATTGACTCTTGGCTTACAAGGATCTAACATCTTAATATTCCATAAAACATTACTTTGGTAGAGGTCATTGGAAAATAGATAGTAGTATAGGCCTTTGGTTAGATGCCTTGAAAAGGTACATGTACATTAGAGTGGAAGATAACTGCAGAACTATAGGAGCCCATCACTCAGTCAGTTTATGGTGGTTAAAGATTTAGAGTATGTTTAGAATGAGGATTAAGTGTTGATACATGTGGCAACCCATTCCACTATGATACACTGATTACTATGCCTTTTTTAGATTCAAAGGCAACACTATTACATTTCTACACATTTATTCAATAACATGTTTACTGGATGACAATGGTGAAGGCCCAGAGAAACAGGATCTAACTGCATTACAAGATAATCATGAATGCAATGCAATGGTTCTCAAAGTAAGTCTGGAGGATAGGAATGATCTGAAGTGGAAAAACCTGGACAAAAGAATAGCAAAAGAAGGACCTGGGTTACAAACCAATGACATGGTATTTTGGCAGGAAACTTTTCAATTTGAAAACTGGTTCTTGACTTGCTTGTAAGTGATGACAGACCTGTAATGAAATATAAACTATATACTCTAAAACCAAAAGCAAGCACAAAAGCAAATCGACAAACAGATAATAAGCTAGCAAAGAGCAGAAAATGAATTTCAAAAACCAATGTGATGAAGGTAGAAAAAGAGACAAGTAACACAAAATAAATGAGACCCCCCCCAAAAAAAATAGCCAAGGGGCTGAGCAAGTATTCAGAGGTTAAGAACATTTGACACTCTTCCAGTTCTCAGCACCAATGCTGAGTGGCTCACAATCATCTGTAACTCTAGTTCCAGGGAATCTAACACCCTCCTCTGGCCTCCTCAGGCACACACACAAGCCATACACTCACTCAGACACAAATAAAAATAAAAAAGGAAAATAGCCAAGAATGGTAGATTAGAGCCCAATGAGTTTCTTAATAAATCACATTAATTATAAACAATCTAAATACCTTAAAAAAAGCTGAGATTATAAAATTGGATTTTCTTTTTAAAGATCTCCTTTATTTGGCCCCATAAAACATAACTTTAAGCATAAGAACACAAAGAGAAAAAAAGGAAGAAAAGATGGAATACTAATATTAATTTAAATGTAATGTCTATATTATAAGGATTTCAAAATTTAGTCTATTCCTAGGCATAAAGAACTTTAAAATGGCAAAGGAACCAATGCAACAAGAGAACAAAATGATACCACTGATGCGCCAGCAAATAAGCTGTAAAACACATCAAAACGGAACACCCAAAAAAGAGAAAGATTTAGGTTCATAAGTACAGTCACAGATTTCAATAGTCCTTTCTCAAAAACTGGATGAAGTAGGGCATCTAGAAGATCAGAGAAGACACAGAAATGTGAAGGGTATCAATCCCCTTGATCTAAATAACACCTTTAGAATTCACCATTAACAACAGACATGAATGAGCATACTCTAAAATAAATAACAAAAAAAATTGACTAAGATAGACTATTTTCTTGGGACTGAAATAAGTCTCAATAAATTTAAAAAGATTCAAGTCAAATTAAATTTACCCTTTGAACACAAAGGAACTTAAAAATCAACAGATACATGAAAATGCCTAAATAAAACCATATAACACATTTTAAATAACTCAGGAGTCAAAAAAGAAATCAAAAGGAGGATTAAAAGTATTTTAAACAATAACAATAAAAATACAGTATATTCAAATTTATGGGATATAGCTAAAGTAATACTTAGTGAACAAACAGGCACTAAATGCCTATATTAGAGAAGATCTCAGATAAACTGCCTCAACATCTACCTTAAAAATCTAAGAAAACAAGAGTAAATTAACCCAAGATAAGCAGAAAATGGGAAAAAAGAATCCGAATGTCAATGAAATAGAAAACAAAACATCAATGAAAGTAAAATGCTACTTCTTAAAGAAAAATGAATTAAAATGGTCAGCTTTTACTGACTAAAAAGTGTGAAAAATAACCAGTGTCAGAAATAAGAGATGACACAAGTATAATTCTATACAGAACTATACAGAATAAAGGGATAAAGAAGTGTTGTTAATTACATGCCAAAAATTTTTAACTTTGAAGAAATGAAGAGATTCCTTAAAAGAAGCTGCTAAAACTCACTTGAAGAAACAGATAATCGGAATGGTCCTACATTTACCCAAGAAACTGATTTCAATTTCCCCTGACAAAGCATTTTGAGGTTTTATTGGTATGTCCTATATAACATTTTGCAAAAAACTAAATAGGAGGGAATATTTCCAATGTATTCTCTGAGATCAGCTTTACCCAGATAGTGAAACCAGATACAGACATTATAAAACAGGAAAACTAAAAATGAATTCCCTCAACAAGACACACACAAAGTATCAACAAAATTTTTAGCAAATCAGACCTGGCAGCATTAAAAAAGCTTAACATTATGACTATGTGGAATTTATCACAGAAACACATGGTTTGTGCAACATTTGAAAAAGCAACCAATGTCATTTGCCACAAAACAAATTTGAAAAATCATACAAACAATGCAGTCAAAGCATCTGACAGATTACAGCTTCTTAGATGGTCTGTCATTTCCTTGAATTCTGTATAGGACTCTGTATCTTAAGCTGCAGTGTTATTTTCACTTTATTTCTGTTTTTAAATTAAGTCTGCTTGAGTCCTTACAATGTATATTAAATAAATATATTGTTGATTGTTTTTAATTTTGATGAATTCTATCTTGTCTGTCTTTTTTCACTGATTTTTATCAAATCTGAAAAACCTAACTGAAGATTTATACCTGTTTTCTATTAAGAGTTTTAGAGTTGATAAGCTGGTAAACTTAGGGCTTTGCCCTATTTTTAGTTATTCTGTGTGTGTGGCTACACAGGGGTCTGACTTCTTTCTTTGGCAGCTGGATATCCAGTTATTCTAACACTATTTATTTTTTTGCCATTGTCTTAGAATCACTGTTAAAAATGAATTGACCATAATGAACAGGTTTACATCTGTACTCTCAATTCTCTTCCCCTAACCATCAATAATAACCCCTAGTCTTGATCACTATAGCTTGGCAGTAAGTTTGGAAGTATGAGTCTTTCAGTTTTTCTAAGATTATTTTGCCTGCTCTCTTGTCCCTTGCATTTCCCTATGAATTTTACAATCAATGTGTCAATTTTTATTTAAAAAAAAACCAGACACAACTGAGAGTGTGTTGAATCTATGTATCTCTATGGGATTATCATCACCTTAACAAGCTTGTCTGTTAATCCATACATGTGGATCTATGCTCCTTTAATGTTTGTCTTTAACTTTTTTTCAAAAATGTTCAGTATATGGCATTTGCATTTCAACTTCGGATTTACTGTTATGTATAGAATATAACTAACTTTTTGAATACTGACTTTGTATCATAACCTTCTCTGAATTCATTTATTAATTCTAATTGTTTTCCAGTGGTGTCCTTAGGATTTTTTTAAATAGAAAAATTTCATACATAAATAGAATTATTTACTTCTTTGCAACCTTTGTGATACAGACACCTTTTTTATTTCTTGTCCTTATTTGTTTAGTGACTGACTGAATTATTCAAGTGAATGTTTTCCCTTTCTTCAATATTTGTATATTCAAAAAAATCCAAAGTGTCGAGTTCAGTCTGCATTTAAAGAATACCAACAAACTAAAGCATATATAGAGGATGGGAAAGACTTCAAAATGACATAGAAAAAAAACCTCAAGGAACTGCAGATATTTTACATGAAAGAAATTAGGCTAAAAGCATAGAAAGGGCATATACTGATATAACTGCCTTTGTGGTTCAGCTGGAGAAAGGGATGTAATTAAGGTAAGCTGGTAGGCATTAAATGGAAGCAGATACCAGCTTAATACTTAAGGGAAATGTTTAAGAAGCAGTCCAGCCAGATGTGGTGGTGCACGCCTTTAATCTCAGCACTTGGGAGGCAGAGGCAGGTGGATCTCTGTGAGATCAAGGCTAGCCTGGTCTACATAGCAAGTTCCAGGCTAGCTGGGGTTGCATCGAAACCGTCTCAAACAAACAAAAACAAAAAGAAAGAAGCAGTCCAACAATGGCACAGTGAAGTTTCCATTTTAAGCAGAGCTTTTCATCCTGTCCCAACATTGGGTATGATGAGCTTTCTCTGAGAGGGATGTTTAAACAGATAAGCACTACAATCTTTATATTCTCTGTGACAGGAGTCCTACACTAAATATAGCCATTTGATATAATGGAAAGTACTTTCAAGCCAATAAGTACTTCTGGAAAAATGTTTAAAAGGAAACTGAATGTTTTCTTAGCAAACAGATCCTCTGAGATTGCCATTCGAAAGCATTTTCCTGAAGAGCCATGTATTTGGTAGCCCACTTTATAAACAACTGGGGAAAAGGATTGTTTTGAACGTCCATATTCTCTCATGCACTTGATTTACAAAATTAGAATAAAGTAATTCATTTTAAAGAGTTCTTAAGTTCTTTTTAAAAAAATTAATGAAATTGAGATCTAGAACTCACCAGAAGAAATCTTACCAGCACCTTTATAGTCAACAGAAAATGCAGAAGTGACTCCATTGGCTGATCCCAGTTCACACATTGGGATTTGATAAGGTGGCCTCAGCTTGATTTCCATCTGCATGTCAGACAGATTTATTTTTGTTGAAAGAGACCTGGGATTATTATATCGCTGTTTGGTCCTCTGAATGAAGTTATCTATGTAAAATAAAAAATAAATTTCCTTGCTGTCATTTGTTAATTAAATCATTTTAGAGTGTGATGTTTATGGACAGCGTATTTTATAAACGGTTTAATTTGTTACTCAAAATTATTCAATTTTTCATGGGGTTTCCAATATTATTTATGTTTAACAAGTTAATGTATCATGGACTCATCAATTTTACACTCTAAGTATTAGGCTCTAGAATTTAGTCACTGTAATTAAAGGCTATCTGAGTATATTATATCAAAGAATTAGAGAAAAGCAAACAGAAAGAAAACAATTTTAACTTTAAACTGAAGACTTAATTTTTACAGATTCTTATCACATGAAATATTAAATCTGTTATTAGTTGTAATTATATACAAACATACACTATAAGTAACATGTTTTAACAAATCTGTTCTTTTATTTATTTCTTACATCCTTAAAATGTTCTGAAAAATAAGTTTAGTGGAATCAATAAAATACATTCCCTAAACATCTTCTAATCTTCTAAGTAGAATTTTATTTTTACTATTTACAACTTGTTTTCCCCCCTCTTTCTATATCAGGTTGAGCAAACTACTGCCCATAGGCCAAATCTAAACTGCTGTTTTTATAAATAAAGTTTTATTAGACCATAACTATTACTTATTCATTATGTATTACAGCTGCTAGAGCTGAGTAGATGTGGCAGAGACTATACATCCCTTAAAACCCAAAATATGTACTCTCTGGTCCTTTCCAGCAGGTATTTGCCAACCCCTGTTCTACATTAAGCAGACTATAAAAAAAATTATCACATAGACACAAAACAGAATCTCTGGCTTATAAATTTCTCATTGAGAACCTGTCCTCTGGGATTCATTCTCTGGGCTAATTAAATCACAAGTCCTTTCACAGCTCAAACACAAATCCTTTCCTAATAAGCACCCAAATTAAGAACTATAGATCATTTGTTAAATTATTCTATCAAAATCAAGGGTGCATTAAGTTCCTCCACTACTCCCAGAATGAAATGAAAAACTGTTTATGAAGAAGACAGAATAATAAAAAGTACAGAAAACCCCCCCATCAAAGAAAAAACCCAGGCCCTTACCAAATTCAATGAAACAGTATGGTCTGACAGCAGTATTTGTCTTCATCATGTTATAGGTAGTAATGAACTCCTTCTGAAGCTCATCCAGGAAAGAGAAGGCGAGAACATTTGGGTAATTTTCAGTGCACAACATCATGTAGCTCACTCCCAAAGAGCTAATAAAACTATAGTGTAAAAAACATTGGTTTTAAAATTTCAAATTAAATCATGGTAATTTGTTGCTTCACAAGACTGGTTCTATATACCATAAACTGCTGCTACAGGAGCTATGAAGATGTTAACATTTATTATATATTCCAGTAAAAATTTTAAAGGAACCAAGATATAATACTAGCTAAAGTTGTGGTTTAAAGCAGCAGACAGAAGTAAAGGATGTACATGAAAGGTTGACACTATGATTCTAACATTTCAGTTATTTATATAGGGTAAGGAGCAAGGAAGAGAACATACAGATTCATAAGCATCAGAGATAGCTCAGAGTCAACACTTCACAAAAGCACTCAATCAAGAACCGTTCAGAATCAGGTCAAAGTTATGGACACTGATCCCAGAAAGATTCCCCAACAACACAGAGCTTCACACACAATTTCAGAGTTGTCACTGACTCCTTGAAGTCATCACTGACCCAAGAATCCAATCTTATACTTGCACCACTGAGGGGGAAATTAATTATGTACCATTAGGGGAAAAATGAAGTTTATTAGTTCATAGCCATGACAAATAAATAAAAGGGAGATAAAGAAAAACTCTTGCTTATAGCAGACTGCTGAGCACTGGCTAGTAAATGAGGTTGTCCTGCAGTTGGACAAAACCCCACCATTTTAGAGCAAACACAGCAAAAACTGGATCAGGCAATATAATCACGAATGTTAAACACAGGGAGAAATTCTGATGAGAATCAGTATATTTTCATGGTTTAAAATGCTTTCCATGGGGACTCGAGAGATGGCTCAGCGGTTAAGAACACTGGCTGTTCTTGCAGAAGACCCGGGTTTGAATCCCAGCATCCACATGGCAGCTAACAACTGTCCATAACTCTAGTTCCAGGGGATCTGAGAGCCTCTTCTGTTCTCCAAGGGCACTGTATGACATGGGTGCACTTACCTACATGTAGGCAATACATGTATAAACATAAAATAAAAATAATAAACAAAATATTGAAAAAAAAGGTGAGTGATTCTCAAGATCAAGGTCTATACAGACTAAACAATGTTCCTAACTAATTTTGACAGTAGTTTGAGACAGGGTCTCCCTGTAGCCCCAGTTGTCCTGGAACTCACTATGTAGACCAGGCTGGCCTTGAACTCACAGGGATCCACCTGCCTCTGCCTCCTGAGTGCTGGGATTAAAGGCATGCGCCACCACGCCTGGCAATAAAATATTTTTTTAAAAATGCTTTCCAGTGGATTAAGTGTTAGTTGCAAGAGGAAATCATCTAGTAGAAACTAGACAAAATGTTGACCAAGTATTCTAATATAAGTAGTGAGGGTGGACATAATGCACCTAAACCTGTGATATGCAGGAAAAGATGCATGTAAGTGCAGGGTCTTTTCTTTGGTTCTCTGTAAAAGCAGTACACACACTTTTAACTGCTGAGTCACCTTTTCTGTTCCATATGCTCCATTTTAAAAACAGGAATTATTATTATTATTATTGCTATTATTATTGGTTTTTTGAAACAGGGTCTCCCCGTAGTCCCAGCTGGCCTGGAACTTGCTATGTAGACCTGTCCTTGATTTCACAGAGATCCATCTGCTTCTGCTTCTGAGTGCTGGTATTAAAGGTGTTTGCCACAATGTCCAGCTCAAATAGGTACTTTTTTTTCTTTTTGAGACTGGGTCTCCCTGTAGCCCTAGCTGGCCTGGAACTCACTGTGAAAAATACTCTAGAAATATTTCTAATAAAAAAGTCTAAAGAGCTATACCAACTAAATGTAATAATACTTAACCTTAGTCTAGATCTTTTGGCTGAGAGGAAGCTGAAATGCTATAAAGGAGATTTCTAGATCAAATAACAAAAATAGAAAGCAGGCAGTAGATTACAGCATCAAAATTAAATTTATTATTACTGATTACACAGTCAAGTAAAAACATCTCAAATCTTAGAAAATGTTCTTTGGAATAGCTAAGAAGAAAGGCCTAGGCCAGGTATGTAGCTCAGTGGTACAGCATTTGCCTGGCATGCACAAGCCTTTTGATCTCTAGTATGGGAAGAAAGGAGCAGAAGGAGAAGTGGAGGAAAAGGGGGGGAGGAGGAGAAGGAGGAGAAGGAGGAGGAGGAGGAAGAGGAGGAAGAGGAGGAAGGGGGAGGAGGTTCAAAAAAAAATCACATAGGTAGGGAAATGCCAACAAAAGATGAGTATAGGAACAGGTATCAGGACTATTCTTTTTCATACAATTTTTATAAGATTGAAGTTATTTCTAAACAATATGCTAAAAGTACTTTAAAATTTCTACTTTAAACACTGAAACATTTAAATAAAAAATGTTGTATTGAAATAACTTTCTAAAATACAGCACATGCTTCTTTATGAAAAAATAAGCAGAACTGGAACAACCCTTTTAATGAGTCATCATCAGCATAGCTAGTCTAGATCAAGGGCAGTAAATAAATGCAACATCCAGGCTATGGCTCCCACTCATGTGCTAGATATTACCAACCACAGCAATTTGTGCTGTCAACCCAATTCATACTAGAGCTCATTTTTCTCTAAGAATGTAGACACAGAATTTAAGATCTATTTGTGTATATGTGTATGTGTCTGTTTGAGTATATGTGCATATGTACATTCAGGTATGCAGACCTGAGCATTTGTGGAAGCCAACAGAAGACATCAGTATCTTCCTCTATCATTCTTTGAGGCAGAGTCTCGGGGCTTGTCTTTTCTCAGCTAGGCTGGAAGCCAGCAAGCCCCAGTGATCCTCCTGTCTCCACCCACTTTGGAGTTGGGGTTATAGGCATGTATAGGATACCTGGTTTGTTATATATGTGTTAGTATCCAAACTCTAGCCCTTAAGATTGTGCAGTAAGCACTCTTCACAGCTAAACTATCGCTCCAGTGCCCCTTTGGGGTACATATGTTCACGTGATTCAGATTTTAAAAGAATAGTGTACTTGACCTTTTCTTTCATCATCTCCTCTGCACATAGGTACACAATTCTCTTTCCCCAAGGCAATTCATATTACTGATTTACTCTATCTTTCTAGTGAGAGTTTATACGTAAATGAGTAAATGTGCTTTTGTGTGTGTGTGTGTGTAAAACACCTTTTAAAAGACACTCCCAGGCAGTCAAATGATGTAGGGTTAGCAAATACTAATTGTCTATTACTAATAGGGTGAGATGTACTTGCAGTAAAATTGAGCTGATCTTACAATTCCAGGAACCTACATACTCCTTTCTGAAATTCTACTTGATACACAGTCATTTTGTGATGTTTTCTAAAGTTGTAACTCATTATAGTATTTTTTGAGAGCGAGAAAGAGAGTGAACAGAAAAGTTTAGCTATAACATATAGAAAATTTCTACAAATTAGTATTTTAATCAAGGGTGAAAATATTTTTGTTGTTGTTATTTGTTGCTTTTGTCCTTTTGGGAGACAGTGTTGAAACAGGCTCTCACTATATAGCCCAGGTTAGTCTTGAACTTAATACATAGTCCAGGGTGATCTCAGACTTCTGATCCTCCTGCTTCAGCCTCCCAAGTGTTGGAATTACAGGTGTGTGCCACCAAGTCTAGCCCAAAATATGTTTTCCCAAGAGATATTCTTATCTCAAAATATATTGTCATTATCAAAACTGTTTGACATATCATTAGCATTCAAATATAGTCCACAATAATTTGAATAACTTGGACACAATTAATAGTTAGCTTCCATCCATTCAGAACTCCCAATTGGCAAGCTAGCAGTTAATTCATTATCTTCCAATAATGCGACTTAAGATATTGGATTACATTTTTTCTAGGTCAGGGTTTTGCTGTAGCTCTGCATTAATAACTCAGTGAGCCACAGGCACCTACTTCACTGTGTATCCCAAACAGTTTATCCTGTTTGTGCTAAATTTAACTAGAGGACTGTATGAGAAATAAAGAAAAGCCTATTTTTAAAAGATTGTATGTTGGCATTTTCAGGAGGTCTTCTTGCATGATACTAACTGAAAAGACTACAAAGTGTTCTACATTAAGGCTTTCCACAGTAAATTTAACCTTTTAAGTCTTTCTCTGAAATACAAAGTCTCCCAAAAGTATAAGCCAGCTCAGTTGATTTATGTAGTTGCCTTTTCAACTACTGCTGGGTCAGACAGAGATTCCCATCATCTAAATACAGACTACTTTTGAGATAGTCTGACTTCACTACAAGCATGCTGGTCTGTGCCCATCCAGCTAACTTAGTTCATGTTTTGCATTTGGCCTTGAGAAAGAGGAAGGCAAAGAGCAGCAAGGGTAACAGCAGCATGTGTACTTACTGACCTCTCAGTAGAGCTGGGCCCTCTGCTGAATATTTTGCATATTTGATTTAATTCATCCTCACAGTAAAGGGTATTACCTGTCCCCTTCTACAAATGAAGAGACAACATTATTAAGAAGCAGAGCTAGTGCAGCTGGGGATATAGCTCAGTTGGCAGAGTACCTGCACAGCATATGCAGAGCCCTGGGTTTGATTCCCAACACCTCAAACCAAGACAAAACAAAACCCAGAGCTGGAACCAATAGTTCTGACTTTACAACCTATTATCTTTCTGCAACACACAACATACACCAATTGAGCTCTAACTCATTTAAAAAAAAAAAAAAAAAACTTTTTCTAAGCCACAAATCAATGTCGAATTTTTCCCCTACATTAAGAGCAATGAGATTTAAGGACTTTAGCACTTGTATCACATGTATGTCCTCAGGCCAGGAAGCCCTGCCAACTTTCTCACTTCATCTTCTGCAATGCCCTGTTCCCTCTCTGCATTCCAGCAACAGGAGGTCTGTTTCCAAGCCTGCAGAATGCCAACCTGCTCCCAGTCCAATCACTCCCAACCTGAGAAGCTTCAGGAATTCTGTCTTCTCCACTTTTGACTACTTCTACTGTGCTCCAATTCTGACCTGGTTAAAGTCTACTCATGCATCTGTTCTTAAAGGCCTTTGTAGAGTGTAATCTAAACTGATCCCACCATCAT